TGCAGGTTATTTTTACTTAATAAAAATAAAAAGGGAAATAAATAAGAAAAACACAATTTTTTTTTTTTTCAATTCAGTTACACGTATACATAAATATAAGTTAATGATTATTTTTTTAATAAGTATTTTGAAAAATGGGTAATATAATTGAATTGGATTAAATTAAATTGATTGATTGAATTTAAGAAAAAATATAATATAATGGTATAATAAGTATTATTATATTAAAAAGATATGACATTAATTATTGAGGGTATAATAATAATTTACCTCTATTTTTAAATTTGATATAGTGTGAAAGATAGTATTTTTGAATTGGTTCCAATCCAGTTCTGATGCAATTCAAGGGTTCAAAAAATAAAAATTATATAATTTATAAGTGTGAACAGGTGTGAACACAGTGTGAACACAGTGTGAACACAAAAAGATTTTTTCAATTTTGCTTTAATATATCTTTAGATTACATAATTTAAGTTGTTAAATAAAGACTAAACCTTTAATATTAAAAAGCCGTAATCCCTATTTAATAAATTTTTTCTTTTTACATGGGATAGTACTCTTAGCATTAAGCAAAGTGGGTTATTATTATACCTTAAATAATTAATATCATATTCTTTTAGTATAATTATATATTATACCTTTACATTATATTTTTAAAAAAATTTTATATTTTTTATATCTTAATAAATTAAAATATATAACAATCAATTAAGATAAAGAGATGCAATATTAGTTTTTCACTCAATGGATTTCAAGAGGGGGGTGAATTGGAGTTCCAAAAATGCTCCCCTTTTGCAACCACAAAACCAAAGTTAAAGAGAGTAGAGAAGAAGAGCTTACTCAATGATTTTATAGAATTTTGATCCAACCTCTTGGAACTTAATCCTCTACTTTGACTTCAGTCACCAAGGATTTCCTCAACACTTTCCACTAAAGAGGACAATGGTGGTTTAAAGGAGCCAATTAATCCTTTTACAAGAAAATGAGTATTTCTCTCAAACCTCACCCATTTACAATATAAACCCCAAGATCTATAGATCACTCTTGAAGGATTAATCACACCTCCAAGATAACTCATAAATAGAACAAGAAGATGATTACAAGTAAAAATCTCTCAAATATCAAAAACTCAAGTTAAAGCACATGTAGATAAGTAAAGATATTCAATGCAATGCTCTAAAACTTTTTTCAAATCTTCTACCAATCATATTTATAATCCCATAGTCGAAAATAGCTGTTACTAGCCGTTGGAGGTCATTTAATACTCTGCATGTCGCATAATTCGAGTTGTAGATTTGTCAGCACAATCAGCTTAAACTTTTAGAGCTAACTCCATAGCCAGCTTAAAAAATCTGCAGTCGACTTTGCAGGTTTCCTGCACGTTCTGGTTTTTCTATAAAGCCAGTTGCAAAACGTAAAGCTGGTTTGCAAGTTTTCTACACATTCTATTTTCTTGAACAGCTAGTTGCAAACCATAAGCCACTTTGGGATTTCAACTTTAAACACATTAAATAATCTTTAAATAATTCGACCATTGCGCATTAAATGCGCCATTACAGCCCGCTTTGCGTCTGTTTTTTGTGCACACCAAACAACAAATTTAAAATTTTCACCCGTAGAGTCAGCTCTTAAAAGCTACAGCCGACTCTCTGCATTTTTATGTTCCAAAGCCAGCTGCACATTTTTTTTAAGCCAGCTCTCTACACATTTTAGCCTTTTGGTCCATTTTTAATACAGTCCAAATTTACGTACTTTGTAATCTTTTAATAATTTAACTACACACATAAATGAACCAATTAATCACTCAAATGTGTTTTGTAATTATCAAAAATCATAGGCTCAACATTAGTCATTAAGAGTGTAGTAATAATATCACTTTAATTTTTTTTTGTAATTTGATATACTTAGAATTATAAAATACAATACTCTTTTAAACTGTTGAATAACAAGTCTAACAGAAGCTTCATACTATGCTGAAGTCGTTGAATCTATCCTGTTTACACTTGTATATTGACATTATATTATGTAAATACACCCATCAGGCATGGGAACCGCCGGAATAGCATGCCAAGGGCATCATGAGCGACTTGGTCATTCTCATTTTGGCCCCCACCCCCTCTCAGTCGCTGTGGCGGAGCCAAAATTCGAAATGAGAGGAGTTAATTCTGTCGATATTTAAATTAAATTTATGTTTAAAGTATTATATTTTTAGTTTATTTCAGTTATTGTAATTTAACTTCCACATAAAGTTTAATTTAATAATTTTATTTAACAAATAAATGACAATTGAAAACTTCTTTTTCTAAACAAAATATCTGTTGAATATTTTCACTTAAATAAAAAAAATAATCAGTCTTCATTAATTTGTTTATGTAAAATCATTGAGTCCATTAATATAAAATTGATGAAATTAAGTAACTAAAAAGGACCAAAAGAAATAACACATAATTGTAAAGTTGTAAATTCGTCTTTAAAACCAAACTTGACCACTTTCAACTTAAATATATTGTCATTCAAAATTTTTGATGATTAATGAATAAATATCTAGTTATATTTATGGAGAAAAAAAGTATATAATAAAACAAATCTAAAAAATGCAATAAATTTAGAAAATATAAAAAGTTATAAAGCGAAAGATAAAATAAAATAAGCAAATATGACTTAATAAAAAAGTTTGCATTAAAGATGAAATTTTTTAATATTTGACCAAGAAAAAAAATTATTGTTAGTAACTATAATTAATATTTTAGACTAATTTTAAGCATTACAAAGATAATGATTTAAGATTTTTAAAGAAAGGGTAATCCAGCAGCTTCATTCTACCTTACTCGAGTATCCAGACATATCACTTTCCTCATAACTCATTCAACAAGAAACCAAATTTAGAAACCCATATATTCAATCACTCAAAACTCAAAACCTGTTTTCGTTACTGGTGAAACCAAAGCTTTGAGCAGATTGCAGCTTAAGGGAAGCAGATTACCAAACAGTGGTAATTTTCCATAATTCTGTGACTTTAATTCCAGGTGATTGTTTTGAAGATAATTATGATTGAAGTACCGACCAGGTCAGAGATGCCAAGTCATTAACTAATATCATTTTCTATGCAGAGATCCCTAGTTACCTACCATTCACATGATAACTTATCAAACACCATAGCAATCACCATTATTACCTTATCAAAATGTAGCTAAAACTAAAACAATTTAAGCTAGTCTGAACTGTATCAAAATTGTCCTTGAGTTTATGCAAATGAACACTTAAGAACTACATAAGCACTACAAGCAATTGAGTCAAGCAGCAATGAGAACATCTTAACTCTTAAAAACAGATTATAGAGACAATCCCATAACAAAAAATCAGTCTTCCATATATAAAATCTAGACCATATATAAGCTGGTAAAAACAAGCAAGCTAACAAAAACTCTAGACTATCCCATCAACTAACGATATTGGTTCATTGAAACAAAAACATAATAGCCATTGCCAACAACCTTCAACAGGCAGGCAGTCACAGTACAAGAACTCATTTCTTACTGTTGTCGGACTTCAACTTTCTTCTTCTGCCAAAGCCTGTCAAGTGCACTGTCAGCATCACCCTGCAAGGATGACCAAATATTTCACTAAATTAATTCCAAAACCTCATGATACAACCTTCAAAAAGCAAAACAAAGGAATGCTAACGAAAAATACAACATCCATCCCCATCCCAAACCAGATCAGAACTCAGAGGCCCAAACATATAAATGCATCCAGCAGGTGAGGAATTCATCTCTTAACACATCTTAAATCATACAGATTAAAGGCTACTAACATTCTAACGTATGAAATATTCAGTATCGAAAACTAAGAACAAAATCAAGCTCCCAAAGGGCATTAATTAAAACACAAGGGATCTCAGCACATAACATGGCAAAACTAGACCTAGCTGAAACTACAAGAATAGAAAAAAGAAAAAACAAAGAGATTCAAACGAACCTGAGCTCTGACTTTTCCACAGAGAGCAAAAGTGGTGAAGTGACCATTGTAAATGCCATACTCATCCAGATGTCCAATGTTAATCTGGACAGCAGCGTGATCCTTCGAGGTGATGAGTCTATTTGTGGCGGAACTGAAACAAAAAGCAGATCAATGATCAGTTTTCCTGCTTAGTTAAGAAAACGGAAAGAAATCATAAGAACGAGTCAATTATAAAAGAATCGAGCAGCGTACCATTTCCTGGGGATGTAGAGATCCATGTTTTGTCCCTCTTCGTTCTGCATCTTGGCGGCGGCGACGGCGGAGATATGTGCCTGGGTTTGGTCGACGGCTGTTGGTTAGGAATTTACCAAGAGTGCAAGTGAACGGTGCAGGAGGGAGACGTGGGTTTATATATGCTAGGTTTTGGAGGTTGCAACTGGGCCGGGAGAAGAGTCTTGAGTTGAGTTTGGGTCTGTTAGTGTTAGGCCTAGTATGAAATTTAGCTTGAACAATGAACAATGGAAAAGTTAAAACTCTTGGGTTGGACGCTTACCCAAGAAAAATTTTGGGTTGGCTCAATTAAATAATGGGCTTAAAGCTGTCCTTTTTTTTTTTCCGGTGGTAAACTATATACTTTTCTTTTTATAAATGTTTTGTTAATCCACATTACACAAAACTAGCCATCGAATGAATATCGGTTCTTTGATATGGATGTGAACCCCATATAATGATCATAATTTTGTAATTTGAATAGTGAAACTACAATGTATCTAATAGTTTTTTTATGATAATGCATACGACGTAACAAATATAATTTCAAAGCGAAAAAATTTTAATGCTTTCAGTTTCAAACAATCTCATATTTTGTATAGGATTTTTAAGTAATTCACTACCGAATAAAGTTAGACAAAAGTACTAATTCAAATGTTTTATTATTATTATTATTATTATTTAAGATGTATTACATTTTTTTTAATATTAATTTTTCGGTATTCGGTAATCACATTTATCTTAACTAATTTGAAATCGAATTACGTTGAATCCAATTAGAAGAAACTCTCTCAATACTTGTTTCTCCATTCACAATACTCGAATTATTATTGTTTAAGATGTATTACACTTTTTTGATATTAAGTTGAAAAACTCTCCCAGTACTTACTTCTCTATTCACAATACTCTTGATTCTCCATTCACAATACTCTTGATTCTCCATTCACAATACTCAAACTCGAGACCTTATTTAAGGAGAACCGAACTCCTTCCACTCGGATCAACATGTCGTTAATAAGATGTATTACACTTAAAAGCATTAAAAGCATCAATTTGGTATGTGAAAAATAAAAATATTATTAATAAATCTTCAAGATCTCATTATTCATCAAGGATATATATATATATTTTTTTTTTTTTTTTTCTAAACCCGGACTAATATTATTAAGTGCAAACCGAACTCTAAAAACATTTCTGTATTTTCGTATCCAATCTCTGAATGTTTTATGAAAAATATCATTATGAAAATGCAATAAACAAGCAACTCTTTGTGAAGCACTACAAAATTTCACAAAAAATGGTCAAATTACATTGTGCTATAGGTAACTCACAACAAAGAACCAACTATTACATAAGGGACATGGGATAAAGCATCCTCAATTGCCCAAGATGAATGCATCTGATTTCATAACTTGCCAACTCTATGAACAGCATCAAACTTGTATGGAAAAAATATCAATTCTATATCTCATTCCGAGGTTCCAATAGTAAAGCACCCATTACCAGTCAAAGCAAGTCCAAAAGGGGTGGTTGGTTGTTCGGATGTGGTTCGCTTGGGATTGCTCATCCTTGAGGTTGAACTGGATCCCCTCCCTCGACCTCTTCCTCTACCCACAGCAGTGCTGGGAGGTGGAGTGAGTTTTGGAGCAGCCTGTTCATTCTTGCTAGAACTAAATATTGACCCAAGATCTGCAGATTTTTTATCATTGTATGAAGAACCTATAGGAAAAGAGATCCCTTGGTTCTGTTTCATCAACCCAATGGAGTTTTGGGGATTTAGGCTACCACTATTTGACATACTTGGATTCAAAGTTGAACTCCCTTGATTTGTTCTTAGCGGCTCCACAGAGCTTTGGCTGTTTAAGGCCCAAATATTGCTGCTTTTCCCTTGGAAGTTTATAGTATCTTGAGTATTACTCATCAGACTGGATCTGTAGTTCACGGGTAGTCGCACTGTGCCATTGGCAAGAGCCCCAGGACCACTTGGAGAGCTGCTAGGTCGTGGAGGCCAGTTTGCAAAAGGATCTAAATCATCCAAAGTTAGTTTGCAAAAGGATCTAAATCATCCAAAGTTGAATTAGAAGATGCTCCCTCATTCAATTGCATCTTGCTATGACCCAGATGAGGGGCAATACCGGAAGATGCGTGAGGAGGCCACTCTATATCAACTGCAGGGCACGAATTAGATGTTTGTTGACTAGATATGCCAGATACTGTAGACGGTTGAGATGGAATAGAGGCTAACTGAATTGATTGATCACCCAAAACAGGGTGACCTGATGAGCTGTTTTTTGCAGAAGGCTGGTTGGAAGTAGCAGCTTTCGTAGGAGCGGCCCATTCATCCTCCCATGATTTGCTGCCTTTTGCTGAAGCAACACTAGTTTTGCTTAAGGCTTGAGACTGGAGACCATCACCATTGGCAATAGATGCTTGTTTTACTTCTGGATTTCCTGAATCGGTTACAGTAACACCTCTTTTTTCTTCTATCTTCCTGCATGAAAACCAAATTACAAATGGAGCTCCTGAAGAAACTTGTAAACCTAAAAATAAATGAGAAGGATGAAAACATCTTTTTTCTTATTGCAGGCATGCAGATACACAGAAAACTGCATTCTGAAATAGGGTGGAGGGACAGTGGGTTACCTAAGAACATCCTTGACAAAGAGCATATATTTGGCAAACTGCTGAACATTCAACTGTTGGGCTATGAGGAGTGGTGTGAGTAGAGGAAGGACATGCTCTGACACAAATTCGACTCCAAACTGAACAATGTGAATGAACAGGACAATCAGTTATAATCTCACTAACCCTCCTGAACATACTAATGCATTGCATAGCCCATTAATCTTACATGTTTGAGAACTGAGTTTGAAACCCCAAGTGTACACATAAGAGTAGGTGGAGAATGATCAACAGCTGTACAACGCTGAATGGTTTGCAAGATTTCCAGCACAGCATGTTTATCCAGTCTGTGAACCAAATCTGCCAAGCAAAGCAAAGCACTGACTCTCACCTGCTCAGAGAAACCAAAAGGTCTAATTAAAGCTTCATATTTCCAACAGGATAAAAATTCATCTAAAGAAAGCATCTATAGGCGTTTTAACTGCTACTCAGCGAAAAAGCTTAATATTGTCAAAATTTTAAGGAATGTTTCTTTCTTTTGCCCCTTTCCCAACCTGCAATTTGAATATCCTGAATACCAAAAAGTTAAGAAGTAGGGATTTAGATGTCTCCCTAGAAACAAGCCTTTAAAGACTACAAATTTGATTAATAGCAGGTTAAAAGTATTTTAGATTCCCCATAGCTGCAAAGGGCTTTGACAAAACAAACAAGGATGGTGCACAGAAAAACCTCAGGTTAACCTAACCAAGCATTTACTCATTTACAGGGACAAGTTTATCGCATGGGAATACTGTAATCAGATGATAGTATGCAGCATCAACATTCTAATGAAAATGACAGCAAATTTACAAAAATTGTGCAAAATATTTTATTCCAACAAAGATGCATACATACTGCAGCTACCTTGTCTTAAGAGCTAACCCATGAACACGAGGCAAGATTGCTTGTTTCACAAGCTGAAAAAGAACAAAATTAATTGAAAAGAAAATATAGTTAAAGCCTCTTCCATTGGGCATGTCAGCTAGGATATTATAGGTAAAAACAAAACTCAAATATATGGATCTATGACGAGAACACATGTAATAATATATTTGATTTTCATAGTTCTTGATTTAATAACATTTCACCTTCATCAATATCTTCTGATTTCTCTTATAGCAGAAGCAGAATTCTAGATTTTGGGTTCTTGATGAGTATGCAGTAAGAAAAGGCTCAATAAAGATATTCTACAAATAAGCAACAGCCGTGGTAAAAACTATATCATGTAAATTTCAACAAAATAAGAGCGAACATTGTCAATCTGATAATGAATTATTGTACACAGGGTACCTTTTGCATCTATTAATTAAACAGCTCCAAACTTTACACACAGCCAGTATTAGTTCATAGATATCAAAGCAATGAAAGCCATTTTCCTGAATGAGTAGTACTCTTATAGTGTAAAATGTAAAATATAGTCAGCAAGTGGCCCTCACCTGGGCATCAAGTTGCTTAAGAAGGAATGAAGATTTCTTCAAAACCTCCTCTTGTATTCGTGGATCATGATCATCATAAGCTCGAACAAGCATTGGCAAGACATGCAACACTAACTGCTCTGGACTAACCTAAAGTAATTAGATAAATGAGAGTTAAAAGGATTTCTCATGGTCATTGTAATCTTAAATACAACAGAAGATGTTTTCTGCCAATTTATACTCGGAAGTGAAAAGAATATTTATCATATGGAAGCACTCTTTAGTTTAGCATACTACTCTTACCTTTCTGATGATAAGCTCTGAATGCTTGACCAGCAACAACAGTGTCTCTCCTGCAGCATTACTTAGTACAGGTACAAGAGCTGGCAGTGTAACTAGTTCAAAGTCATTTTTACCCTGCAATATAATTTCTACACATCATTCATTTATTCAATCAGAATCTCAAAGCAGGACTATAAGTATAGAAATATCCACTAACTCACTTAAGGATCAAAGCTAAAGGCACATATAGATTCTTAAGACCATAAATTTATGTGTGGAATTAGGGAGTTAAAGGCAATTGACTAAATTGCCTTTCAATGGAAATAAGACTAATTGTTTCAATTTAAAACTAAGTTCAGTGACCACGGTGTAGTTCAATCTAAGTTTATGGCACGATGAGTTTCAGAATGACTAAAATGAATCTTTTAAGTTGTTTTAATTAAAAAAATATGAAAAGGCACTCTGTCCAGGGCATAGATCCTCAGTTTGTCTTCTCTGGAATAGTTGAGAGGAGATACGAGATCACTGAAGGAAATTATGCCAATTGCTGTTAGAGAAGGACTGGTACCTGTGACTCAGCAGTTGTGAGAACCATAGGTATTATCATTGGTTGCATAACCAAGTTCCGTAGTTCTGCACAAAGAGGTGGAAGTACCTGAATCCATGGAAAAATGGTATTTATCAGATGCTTCATGTCAGCTGACTTTCATATACTAGCTACGAGCAAAATTACCAAACCAGAAACAGAAACAGCTAAAAACTGCAGATATAACTCCAAATTCAAATGTCATAAATCCTGATGGAAATGTCACCTGCAGTTAACAGTGAAGGTTTATAAGCAGACAGAAAGATAGCATCCTAATTTCCAAACTTAATTTAGGAGAGATATTGGACCTTGATAGTTGAGTATTTTGTTTTGTTGGATTGAGTTCATTCTTTATTATTTCTTGGAACACTATGAAGTTGCTGGACCTGAATTTTCTAAGATTTTATGCCTAGGGGCATTTCAGGTAATTTTAGATTTTTTAGATAGGAGTGGACATGAATCATTTGCTAGTTATTGGGCCTTGTCAAATGATTAAGGAGTTTATTATCTTTTCTACCATTTATAATCTAATTTCCAGCCTAATTACTCTGTTTCAGCAACCAAAACCCCTAAACCTTGATCCTTTTTAACCTTTTTCAGTCAGTAAGGAAAACCAGTTCCTAGTTTGTAAGACTAAAACCTAATTCCCAAGATCAACCATTAAGTGTAGTGTTGAAATTTAAGATACCTCATTACAGCTGAAATTCATTATCATAATTGAACTACATCAATATTGAAAATTGGAAGGAAGAAAAGACAACCAGGGTGATGAGGAGTGGGAAGGCAGGTTGCGGATAAGAATAAGAAAATGACTTGCAAAAACAAGAAGAAGGTCCATCTTGGAACATTTTTCTCATTAATTTCCTCAAAGCCCTTTAAGTTATTGCCAAATGTAAAACACACAACACAAGAGTGGGACAAGAAAGGCCTCAAACCTTATACTGCAGTACACGGAAGTCAAATCCTTTCCACATATCAGATAATGCTTTTAAGAACTCGGACTTCTGCAGGTTATCCCTTTCCTGAAAGAGAACAAAATTGACCCATAAATGCAAATTCCAATTGAACTTTTTTTCCACAAACACAATGATGCTTCTAGGGGATTTCATCACTAGAGCACAAATTACTCAAGATAAAATCTAAAATGCATACAAGCATGTGATCGAGGAAGCGAAGAGCACACAGCCTAGTGTCATTCCGGAAAAATGGAGAACCTACAAAAATAGGATATAAATCTCAAAAGTCAGTAAACTATCCAAATATAAGAGACAAATATTTGTCCAGCCTGCAGATGCCCAGAATTAACCATGTAAAATTAGCTTCTCATTTCATGCCATAACATCTTTGTAAAAACTGTCAAGAAAAAAATTGATTGCAAAAAATATCTAAGATTGGAACATAAACTAGCAAATCATCCTGCAGTCTAATGTTTGATAATGTGGATAATCATGAAGGAATCAACCTAGCCTGAAAAAGCAATAGCACCACACAACAGACTCCAGAGCCTAGATATAGGGTAAGCCAAGTCATTCTAAAAGTGCAACCCGCCAGCTTTATGAGGCAGCTTATACCATTTAATAAAATATTATCTAAAAACACACTTGCTCTTCATAACAGCTCCATATTCATGAACATGTACCAGAACTTATTTAAAGAGATTAGCATACCTATAACATTCTTTTAAGAAAAAGATGCTTGGTCAAGTTGAAGTGGAAAGAATATGGTTCACCCAACCCAAAATGATATTTTGGTTTCCCTCCTCAACAATTATTTGAAGATGCACAATATTTATCTACTGATGATTGTTTTTCTTTAATTAAGATAAATAAGAAAAATAAACATGACATGATAAGGTTGACAAGGCTTATTTTTACCTGTAAAATCCATTGCTGATGGCCTAAAAGACTCATTTGCAGAGAGCATCCTTAGCAACTCAGGTACTAATTCTGGTGGGATAGAGTAGAAAGCTTCATTGGACAAATAATTCAAAGCATTCATATACTGCAGGAAAGAAACACATTAATCAAATACGGTACTTGAAAACATATTAAAAATGAGAAGGCAGCTTCATGGATCAAGAAAGTGACCCCCTTTTTTTCCATTTTTGGCCAACAAGTGGGGAAACGCACACAGGAGGATTCGAAGGCTCCACCTGCTAGAGATAAAAGAAGAGTGACCCCATTTCACAATTTGAGGATTCTCAAAAATTAATAAATGGGGAGAAAAAGATAGCCTGAAGCTCTCATGTTCAAAGAGAAGTGACAGAAAAAAGGTAGAGAGAATATTCTCAGGAAAAGCATAAAAATTAAATGAAAGGCTATTAGTTACCATCTTAACATTGTTGTGACAGTCAAATAGAGGCTTTCGAGAAATTAAGTGAAAGGAAACACATCCAAAACTGAAAATATCAGAAGCACATCCAGCTGAAGGTTCTTTGCTTCGAACCAGTTCAGGTGCAGTGTAATTCAATGATGGTTGAAGGGGCATGACAGAATCTTCAACATCATATTCCTGTAGAGCCCACATTTAATAATAAGAAAATAGCTAGATATTGCTCATTTAATGGAAAACCTACTTAATTTACTTATATAATGGAAGTGAATGAATCTGACTATATAAAACAAATCAAGATAGTTCACTGTTACATTGGAAGATTATAAGATAACTTGAGAAAGAGAAAACAGGAAAAAGAAAAGCAAACTCAAGCCAAAACAGCAGAATTACTTCAAAATTATTGAAGACCTAGCTGTCACTAAGGTGGTCTGTCAGTTGAAGAGAAAGACAAAGGGGCATAGAAGTAACATGAAGAACATTTATCCCTACAGGCTACAGATAATCAACACTTCAACTCACAGCAAAATGGAAGGGTTGCCCATTAGCCAAATCACTAGAAGCTTGATCTGTTGATATTCCAAACCCAAATCCAGCTAGTTTCCAAGCTCCATTCAACGTAATTAAGATATTCTGCAAGTAATAAACTGTCATTTGTACAACATATTAAGAATCCCATATATCCTCCATATAAGTCAATCTATCATCTTTTGCAGATTATAACTTTTTTGGTTTGATTTACGTAATTCACCAGATAACAAGACATACAGGAAATTTAGGCCAGAACAGACTTAAAAGGGGATAAAAGGATCTACAGTAAATTTTGAACAAGGATCTACAGGGAGAAGAGAATAAGTAACTGCCCGGTAGATTGTCCCTAGAACAGTGCTGGTTCCTCAGGACAGCATATCAAAATAATGGCTCTAAGACCAAGAGTTATCACCACCAATATTCTTAAAAGGGAAAGTTGAGGGGAATAAAAAATAAAGTCAAGCAGTAACCTCAGGTGACATAGCCCGATGAATAAGGCATGCATTGTTATGGAGAAAATCCAAGGTCTCCGCAATCTGAAGCATACCATGCTTCACCTCCAACAAGCTCATTTCCTGCAAAGCAAAGTCACTCCAAGTTATAATATCACAGAAACTATGAGAGAAAATAGACCAGGGCACAATATATGGCCTGGATCCTGCATTTTAGTGTTCATGGCAACTAGACAAGTGTATCTCTTTGTAAGTAACTAAAAATGTTTCTTTAAGTATTTGGTTCAGCAATAGAACCCACTCTTTCAGGGATTATTCTTTTTGTGATTATCATCACACTTCACATAACATAAAAGAAAACTTTTCCTAGTAATATAGCGTGGAGCAAACTTCAGCACAGGTTATGCGGCCAATCTTCGAATTGAATAACCTGATAATTGAGTTCATTTAATTACTTAGGGCCTAACTAAATTCACATGCAGACAGTTCTCTTTCTTCTCTTTTTTGTGTAGTGCAATCACTGAATCACACATGAACATCCGCCAATCACTTTGAAGTATTCAAATTCACATGAGTACGAATCAAATTTAAATGCATATCCTCTTAATCACACAAAACCACTCAAACAGATATCAACGAGATTTAACCTGGACACGTGACTCCGTTACCTGCAAGCAGAATTATTTAGAAGGGGATGCTATGCTAATTAAAAATGCTTGTTCACTGAAACACCAAGAACTAAACATTTGACCATTCAACCAGATCAAATGCACATTCACGACGTTAAGCAAAACAATAACAAATTTGATTAAAACACCAACCAAAATCGGCAGAATGCAACATGAAAACACTCATAAGACAAAGCCAACCCACTACCTACCATCCCTTTAAGCTTCCTTGGGGACCTTGGCAACATTCTCCATGTTCCCAAGCGCATTGGCTACAGATGCGAACAGAGGCTCGGTGACCATCGCCATGGCATTCTTGCTCTCATCTAGCGCCTGCACCACGTGCACAACCCCTGAATGCCTCAACCTCACCATCTTCCCTGCATCAGCACGTACGATATCAAGGAACGCATCCTCTTATGCCTTCGACAGCCCGGTCCGCGCCCGTGCCTCCGAGAGCAATCTCTTATCCAGAACCCAAACGCACACGGTCGGATACTGTTGAGTTCGCGTACTATCCCGTGCCTTAGCTGAATACAGCTTCCATGCCAGACCAGGCCCTGCAGAGCCGATCTGATCAAGAAGGTCGTAGTCTTGCAAGGGTCTGGGTCCTGTCACCTCCTGCACAGTGGTGCTTACGGTTTTCTCGATCACCGCCGCGGTCTTAGCCAAGGCTTGGGTTAGTGTTTTCATATTAATAGACATTTTGCTGCCGTAATTCAGAGACTTCCAATTGAGGTTGTGTGTATGAATGAATTGTACGTATATGCATATATGAATTAAAGAATTATTATGGAGGAGGCAAAGAAAAAGAGGTGGAAGTGGTGGCGGTGGTGCTGACGGTGGTGGAGGTTCCTTGGATCAGAAACACTTGTGTTTCTGTTGCTTGCCACCTCTTTCTCTGTTGTCTGAATTTTGCTGTTTTCCGTTGGCTGATTAATACTTTTTTTTTTTTTTGAACTATCACTGTTAGATTAATTTATTTTATTGTGATGAGTCAGACAAACCTTAACGAGGAAGCATGTAGGATCGAAGAAGAATCTTTTTTTTTTTTTTTTGGTGAAAAAGGAAATAGTATTGATCGAAGAAGAATCTTTGAGATTGAGCCAAAGCCCATTGTGCTGCGAATAATTTTTCCTTCTTCTACCTTCCGTTTTGTAAGAGCATATTCGGTGAAGTTTGTAAATGTTTTAATTTTTTGATATTATTTGTGTTTTATAAATTTAAATTTTTATATATAAAAAATATAAATTTAAATTTCTCTTTTAAACATTTATAATTTATATTTTTTTTAATCTTAAAAAAATCTTAAATAATAAATTTTACAAAAATTTAAATTTTCACTTCTTATATACTTTTTTTTTACTTACTTCCTACTTACTTTTTTCTATTTTCTACTCTTTTTTTTATTTCTAAAAATTAACTTTTAAATTTTTATTTCAATAAAAATTTAAACTTATTATTTATAAACAATACAAAAAAATGTAAAAGCTCCAACAAGGTATACAAGAAGCTCCACCAAACCACCGTTTTATACTTTAACTTTCTCCCTTTTTTCCCCAGGTTGGTCGATGGTCCTAACAAACGGTACCAGAAAAAGTTCTTTCTTTTCTTTTCCTTTTTAACCAGAAAAATGTTTTTACCACCAAGAGGTTGTAAACCAATTAGGAAGCTCAATGAGTTTCCTCATGAATCACATTTATGCTGCAAATGCAATTTGGATGCATGATTTATATCATTGCTCAACCATTGAGCTTAGATTTAACAAATATCCAAAATACAAAAGCTATTCAAAATTGTTACAAGCGGAATAGAATAAACTATCTTTGTCTTTCCACTAGCAAGGTAGTGAAATCTTTAACTACCAACAGAGTATATTTAGAGTTAATGGACGAGAAAGGAGAAAAAAGAATTGAGATCTCAAGCAGGCTGCCACAAGACGACTTTGTTAAATGATTACACAGCTGTAAACTGAAGGCGACATTTTAGTTCTTTTATATGACAATATCCATCAAACCATGTTATGCACAGTAACTCAATCTTCTGCAACTGCAAAATGAGAAAATTATTAATAAATTTGAAAATGCATTTAGAAAACAGAATTCCTAACACAAGAATCAAAATTCTATACATGAAAATCTCAAACTTTAATTAAAAGCTGTCAAATCTACTAACTACTAACATGCTACAAGTTTCAAGCCAAGCTCCAACTATCTTTCTGGTGAATGGTCACCATTATTAATAAGCTTAGGACATAATCAGTAAATCTGCATCACACCCACCTAACAACGATATGCCATGGCAACATACCCATGGATCAATCCAAAGATATTCTATAGAATAAGATTAAATTTAAATCTAAAAGATAATTGATTTAACTTTGCAACTCCAGGTATTCTGTTATTCAAATCAGAAGAAAAAAACACCATTCAAGATTTACTTCAAATGTAAAGATCAATGACTGTCAACTAATCATAAATGACTTTATTATTGTTTTTCTTCGTTCTTGAGGGAAACATTCATTCTATTGGCTCATGTTTGGTTAGTGGTAATGGCTTTTCTTTGGTCAAACTACAAAAACAAGCTAAATAAGAAACTTTCTTAGAAAGATAGAAATAGCTAAGCCTTACTATTGATAATTTTCTACTAAACTAAGGGACGAATGACAAACATTTATTCCTTCCATTTTCTAAGAAATGGGTATTCCTTGATTATTTGCTAATGTAAAAGGAAAATTGGACATTAATGCTTAACTATTCCTCGCTTCCTATAGTAGTTATTCCATTTTTGCTTATTTTCATCGTTTGACCAAAGAATAGGCATTACCACCAACCAAACAAGCCCTTGGAGTCAACTGACCACACCAGCACAAGGGTGGTTCTAGTATTGGCCTGGATGGAGCAAGACTAACACTGAGTCGTTAAGCACCAACATCGAAAATATATTTCAGCGTGATGCCACTGGTGGAAGCAAAAAGCCTTCAAAAAGTACAGCATGAAGCACAAATTCTTCTATTTGAATTTTCTTTTTTTTTTAAAAAGTTCCTCTTTACCAACAACGAAAGCCAATTTTCAACATCACAATATGAACAAAATAAATAGCTGGAAGAATCTTAGTCTTGTTCCAACCAGTATGCTACAAACACTTACCAGTGAACCAGCCACATCTACTGTTTCCATTTCTCAGAAAAGTGGGATCACACAGGCACCCTTTTGCCCCGATAACGATCAAATAACTGCACCAAAAGAGAAAAAGGGGGAGGAGCAAACTCAGTTAAAATAATTTCAGGATTTGAAGATTGAGCATGAAAAGATGGTGTGGCAAAGGTCCATATTAACAGAAATCATGTTATACATGAAGTCTTAGGTGCATCTGATGCAATATGCAAAAGAGAGAACATTGTATATCTCGACAACATACAATCAGATCCTGGACTAAATGCCTATAATGGTTTCGGCCACTTAAACCAAAGTTATTTGCTGAGAAACTAATGGGTGGGGATATTTTGGGTTTAAGTGTAATCCAAGACCGGTAACTGGCTTTTAGCCAATTAAGTGGTATGGGGCCAGGGCTTATATGAATTAAAAATTTGAAACAAGTAGCCAAGCTTACCAGAAAAGCATAAAGAAAATATCCTAATAAATAAAACTCTATCATGAAAACAAAAGCAACATGGCGTAACAAAAACAGTATCTTCCAACATCAATCTGATAACTCCTTTGGAAACTATAGTTTCTCCTCCCCAGTTCCGAAATCCAAATATAGGCCCAGTCACATCCACATTGGTAACATTAAATCCCTAGTCTCCTTTATAACAAGGAAGAGGTATGGGAATTTAAGTTCTTGTATCACTTTAATAATAGCATGATTCCAGAATACAAATCTTTGAGCTAGTGTTTGTTCTACTGAAATTTTATTAACTTGAACTCTGATGGGATAATCCTCAGCTTCTCTTTTAGATACTCTCAAGCCTTTCATTTTTCAGAATTTTGACTTTTTATTTAATTGAATTAAATCATGTGAACCACTGAGCAAGGAGAAAATGGAATTTACAAGAATGCAATATGCTCATAATAGATATTTCACAAGTTTCAAAAGAAAATTATTAGAGTTTCAAACTCAGCATACCGATCTGATGTATGGTTGTTGGAAAAGCCAGCCAAGAATAGGTATCTTCTGCAGAAAAACTGCTAGCGTTGGCCAAAAGCCACTGTTAAAGTGTAAAAGAATTTCAAAACCTTGTCAATGCCAAGCATCAAACATCCAATCTCAAAGTATGAAAAATAAAAAAATTAATGGACCTGAAAAGTATGACAAATCCATATGCCTCCAATATCATTCCAAGTATAGGCCATCCTAGGACGACAAAAAAGAAGCCAATACCAAAAGATATAGTTCCCTGTATGTGATCAAAACGCACAATAGTTGTAAGGAAAGAAGAAAGGCAAGTGAAAGATGGTATGGCAGTGATTGGATAAGCAGTGGCTAAACAAATCACACCTTGAAATTTTGACGTTTCATGAAAAATTGCATGGTAGACTTCAGACCAATTGTTAGAGTCACTCCTGAGATGAAGAGGATCTGATTAAGCAACAACACAAAGAGTGGATGGTATTAATCCAGAATGAATTCAAAAAAAAAAAGAAAAAAGAAAAAAAAAAGGAGAAACATTAGAAATAAATCAAAAATAAGATTGAAAAAGTAACTCACATTTCCCATGGCAATTAATCCCTTGTCGAAGAAGAATATGATTCCCAAAAATGAGAAAAATATGCCAAATCCAGTCAATCCTAGCCCAATCTCTGTTCCACCCACAGATGCAAATATTAAAAGGCATTACCAGTGCAAACAGCTCAATCAAAAAGCTGTTTTTATTAACAATTAAAGAGCTATAAGGTGGTTTGATTTGATCAATCCAAACCAGAGATTTGTATTACCAATAATTTCCAGAAATCCTAAAGATTTGCATCGAAACATATATATCATTTTTGCATAAGAAATAGCAAAGAAGCAAGAAATCAATATCCACTCACTCTTGCGGTCATTCATTTCAAAGGAAACCATCGTTTCAATTGCTTAGCTGCTTGTCACCTCGGCTGCACAAACTAAAACATAAACGAATCGATCAAGACAAAACGAAGAAGAAACAGCAAGATGAATCAACTTAAGATTCGACGAAGAATTTCACAACGCTAAGGATATTACCTCGCTAGATCTACCAAGAAGCGAACTCGAATTCGAAGACGAAGATTCTGCAACAACCTAGAAGACAGAAACAGAATCCAACAATCCGTTATTCTGCGAGAAAAAGCTAACCCTAAGTTTTCCGCTGATTTTCCTAACGATTCTCAGAAACCAAATAGAGGGGAGAAATAGGAAGCAGACCTGCGGAAGCGTGATGCGAAAATGAGAATGAAGGTGTCAATTTTTCTCTATTGAACTCCGTGTTTCTTCTGATAAACGGTTTCTTGATTTCTTCTTTCGAATTTGTGAAGGAAATGAGTATGTAATTTCTTTCTTTTTCATTTTTTCCCCTTTTTTTTTTTTTTAATAAGGGAAGAGTAAAGGCTAAAGAGCCCGTCGGTTACTTCGCAGTTTGCTCAATGCCGCTGTTCGGCCAATGGCACTTCTGCAAGCCCATTTTGTCTTAACTAATTATCATTTAAGTCCTCTCTTTTATTATTTTTTTATTTGGATAATCAAAATATTTTCCAGTCAATTTGCTCTCATATCAAAATTAATTTTTTGATTTTGGATAATTTTATTCTTAAAGTCGTACTCAATATTGGCAAGATACATTTAAAAAATTAATTTTTTTTAAATTGTGAACTTTTAACTTGATTTTACTTATAAAACAACAATTGAGTGATTTAATACGTAAATTCATTTTTTTTAGTTATATCAATTGAATATCTAACTTTATAAATGTTTCAAATAGATCCAATAGTTAAATATTTTTTTTCTTCTTTCTATTTGTTGGATATGTGAGGGACAGAGGGAGACGTTTCAATTTTCACTGAGATGAAAAAAAGATGCACCTTGTCAACTTACTAATTAAGGGTGGGAATTTTTTTTGTTAATCTTTATTAAATAATAGAGAATTGATTGATCAAGTTAATTTATACACCTTAATAACTCACAGTGTACATACAATACCAAAGTTTTATTTTTTTTAGTGGTCAGGATATTTTGGGTTAGTTGGGTTTTTTTTTTTTAATTATTATTGTTTAGCTGTTAAAGTCAACCTATTTGCACCTCTAGAATCCAGACTATTTTTTCTTCATATTCACTAGTCCAATCAAAAATTAATTATTCATATCAAGATTAGAAATTTCATGAAAAACCTTGTCAAGAATATGGTAATAATTGATTAGAGATGTTTGGTAGAAAAGTTGAGGTTAGTATTTTGTTTGAATTAATTAGTATGTTTATAGGGTTAATCCAAACTTTGTGTTACATACAATTTTTGTATGAAAAAACTTTCTGCAAAAGATGCATCAATCTGGCCAGAAAAGAACTGCACTACAATCTTGACTAACAAATCTGAAGTAAAGATGGGACTTTTTTTTTTTCTGGTGGGACTTGTAACTTATATAATTGATTCATCTGATTCTAACTCAAGATTTTGAGAGGAAAGATGAAGGCATCAATCTAGAAGCAAAAATCCAAACAAGGGAAAAGAAATCTTGATTTATATAACAATTTTTTAAAAGCAAATTTTGATTTATATATATAGAAAATTAAGATTGTAACCTCCTCATCCTTCACCAATTTACCTTTAGCATCCATTGATTCCATTCCCAATTATTTGGGACCTAAAATCCTATAATTTTCTAAAAGAACAAAAAAAATGCTGCTAAACCTAGTCGTCTCTGGCCCTCTTCAGCTCCATGGAAATCGATATATGTCCTTCACCTCTGTAACCGTCGCCGACAGGCCGCACCAACCCAAATCTGCCGCCCTTCTTCTTCGACACAGACCAGGGGCTGGGTAACGGAATCTGAGTTCTACCCACTAACACGATGCCGGTCGAAGGCCCCGGGTCGGACCACGCATTCACCCTAACAACCTCCACGTTTAGAACCTCCGGATCCAGAAACCTCCCCAACGGAATTTGTGCCCTCTCTTTCCAAACAGGCTCCAGAGCCTCGCCACTTTCGCTCGTTGCATACCTCCGATCACTGGAAGGATTGGAACCCACCCAGAAAACCACCCGATAGTTCCTCTCGCCGATCGGAAGCTCCGGGTACAGAATCGGAGGGTCAAGCCCCTCCGCATGATTAATTTGGAGAGTCAAACAGTAAACCCAGTTCTCCGATTCAGCTCTGCTGTATGGTATTTTTCCGGTACTCATCTCCCGTTCGATTCTCCTGTGGTTTCTGTAAATTCCCAAGTCGTTAGCACGATCACGCTTCCTCATCAAATCAATCTAATAAAGCAACCAAAACTGATGAAAGAAAATATCAAAAATCATGAAGGAAGTCGATGAATGTTCGGTAGGGTTTATGGATATATATAGAAATCAGGAGAGTCTGTGGAAATTCATAGTTCAACCGGAGAAAGGATTCTTATTATATACGCTACACCAGAGGGGAGAAGTATGCACAGCTCAGGGTTTTGGAGGGTTTTATTTATTTATTTATTTATTTATTTTAAAAAAATAAAACGTTATAATAAAAATTAGTTGGCTCCTTTGGCAGAAAAGGGAAATTCTATGCGTGCAATGGTTTTTTTTTTTGGTAGAATGTAGTAGCAAGTGGGGGTGTTCGCTGGGGGTGTTCGCTGGGGGTGTTCATCCCAAATCCGATCCTATTGATCCGAACTAAACCCTAATATATTGTGTTGTTTTTTTTTTTGGTAGAATGTAGTAGCAGTTAGGGGTGTTCGCTGGGGGTGTTTATCCCAAATCCGATCCTATTGATCCGAACTAAACCCTAATATATTGTGTTGTTAAGATGGTAGATTTCACTCATCAGTTCTGAAAATTACATTGAATTTAATTTAAAGTTAAATTACGGTTTGGCTTTTATAAAAAAAAAATTCAATAAGGTTTAAACTTGTAACTTTATTTTTAAAAAATTTTGACTAATAAATTATTGATTACTCATCACACTTTTAAATAAAGATAATTCAATTTATTTATCAATTTTAATTTTTAATATTTCATTAAAATTTTCTTTTCTAATTTTGCTTCAATTAATAATTACTTCATTAAAAAAACATTATATCCCAACTTTCCTTATTAATAAGATAAATATGAAATTTAATTAATAATAAGTTTAGTTTTATGGATTTTTCTTAAAATTTTCTCTAAATTTTTTTTTTATTAGTACTAATCTTCTAATAACTTACACTGGGCATTGTCTAATTCAAATTTAAGTTGCATCGAATCTTGTAAGGAGAAACTCTCCAATGTTTAGAAGAATCAAACTGAAGACTTGACTTTAAAAAAACCAAATTTCTTCCATTTAAATTAATAAGTCTTTAGTAATTTTTTTTCTCTAGAATTAAATCAAATAAAAGTGTAATAAATAAAATAAACAAAAAAATAATTTTTTTAATTAAAGGATGAAAGCATGCCTAAATTAATTTTTAGGTATTTTAAAACTAATTATTTCATAAGTAATGTTAAAAGTGTATCTAAATTAATTGCGTTAAGTCTTGACTTCTGAAACTTGAATTATAAATTTAATTTATATTAATTTAGAAACTTGAATTATAAATTTAATTTATATTAATTTATATTTATACCACATATACTTGCTGCTCTAAGTCCTATCTCTTGCTATTTGAGATATTTTATAATTTATTCTTTTAATTGTAAAGTGACCCATAAATAATTATACATATATCTTGCTTCTATTTTTAATGTTATGTCATATTTATAGGTAAAAAAAAGTTGATATACAATAAATTCACAAAGAATCAATGCTATACAATGTCTACCATATTTTAAGCCTTTTATGTGTAAATTACACAATAAGCGTTGATCCTCTTCATATCAATTTGTAACAAACTACATGCTCATTTACTTATGACTCATATTTCATGTTCTAAGTCAATTAGTGAGAGTTACTATCAGAGACTATTTCAAACGATTATTTATCTCTATGTTGAATAAAATTATCTAACATGATAATAACCAAAATGGGATATGGTTTCGTGCTTAAAGGATAAGTTGGCTAAGTTCAAATATCTCTCCCTTATCCTTTTAAGTGTTTGAGAGAATTTATTAGAGCTCGTTTGATCTAATTAAAGTTTTCTAGTGTTGAATCATGTTTATCTGCTACTATGTATAAATTAATTTCAAAATCAATAAAATTTAACAAATTTATAAGTTAAATTACAAAATTTCTACTTTAGAAGTCACAAATATGCACCTTAACTTATACTTTCTACAAACAGAAATAAGCTTATACATATACAAGAAATTTGGAAGCCCTTTTGAAGACAAAAATGGTTTTGCAGCTGTAATTTTTATTGCTCCCATAAATGTCAGTTTTCTCAGAAGAAAATGCCTTCAAACATCAACCCTCCTTATTACTTATCAAAAAGAATCAAAATTCATCTCTGATATTCTTTCAGGACCGGATTGACATTGTTCATCTCCTTCAGAAAATAAATCTCAATCCAAAACTGAATGTTACATGCCTCCATCAATTGCAGCTCTTACAGATCCTGTTGATTTAAGTCAATATCTTCGTGCATGATGAGCAGTGAAGCATGCAGGTGAAAAGCAAATAAATTTGTTACCAATAATCTCTACAAGAGCATTCCCTGTTTTTAAAATGATGGAAACGGTTTGAATCTCTAACGATAATCTCCTTTTTAAGAAGATGGGATGCTAACCTCATGAAGTTATGGCAGTCCACGCATATTCGGACATTCTTCATGATTCTTATAACATGTCCACCACAGTGCAAGCTGCCTTCATTCATTATGGCAAATGCCAAAGCAAGTTTCTCACTATGATGGAACAGTTGTTCCTCCTTGTGCTCCTCCTCTACATCATGTAAGGCCAAGGTTGTGTCTGGAACATAACCAATCTCCCTTAGCTGCTCAACCAGTGCCTTTAGCCGGGTGAATATAGCCTCTCTCTGTGGATGCCGTCTGCCTCCAGAGGCAAACTCGTGTACCATGTTTCCAATCTCAATCCAGCTTAGGCCAGGCTCCTTTCTAACTCTGGACCCATCCATTTCTTTCCTAATTAGCCCTGCTTCGCCAAAGCTCCCACCTGAGCAATATATGTTAGACATTTGTACATAACCCAGTGAATTTTCAGGATCCAATTCCTTCAGTTTAGCTGAAGCTAACTTGGCTAACTGGGTTTCACCATATTTCCTACATGACCCGAGCAATGCACTCCAAATCACAGAATCAGGCTGCATTGGCATTCTATTTATAAGTTCCTTAGCCTCAATAGTACGTCCTGTCCGTCCAAGAATGTCTACCATGCAGGCATAATGATCTAGTTGAGGTACAATACCATGATTCTCACTCATGGAGTCAAAGATTTTAATTCCTTCTTCAACCAGTCCAGAATGGCTGCAAGCCGAAAGAAGAGCAACAAAGGTAGCAGGATCAGGTTTGACATCCATTTGCGAAAAGAGTTGCAGTGCTTCCCCAGCTAGGCCATGCAAGCCATATGCCTTAAGCATGGAGTTCCAAGACACCAAGTCATGAAAGGCCATTTCATCAAAAACTTGCTTAGACAGGGCAATTGAACCACACCTTGCATAGGCATGGATCAAGGCATTGTTGACCACTGTATCATCATCAAACCCAGCTTTTATCACTTGAGAATGAACTGCCAACGCGCACCACTCTGTTACAAGGCCTGAACAAGCTTTTAGGACACTTGAAAAAGTATACCAGTCTGGATCCAAGTCCTCTCGTAGCAACTGACAAAAGAGAAAGAAGGCTTCAACAGGGTCACGCTCTGCAAATGCTGTTATCATTCCAGTCCACAAAACAATATCTTGACATGAACTCAATCCCAAAAAGAGCTGATAAATGTCAGAAACATCCCCTCCAAGATCTGAATAAGCTTTCACTAAAGCAGTTGCCACTTCAATTTCAGATATAAACCCAGACTTGAGAGCAAGACAATGCAGTTGGAGACAGAACTTAAGACTTGACTCTACAGCAATGCCATTTCTTGGACACAAGGAAGAAATGACACCTAGCAGCGTTGCGCGATCAAATCCAACTCCATCTCTGTGCATTTTGGTAAAAAGCCTAACAGCATCCAACCCAAGCTTCCATACTTGAAATCCTGCCATCATGGAATTCCAAGAAACCAGATTTTGAAACAGCATGCTCTCAAACACAGTCAAAGCCTCAACTTTACCACCTTCATGACTCTTACCATACATTGTAATAAGAGCATTCGCTACATAAACAGATGCATCCATTGCCATCTTCAACGCAAGTGCATGCACCTGTGTCCCTTGCCCGTAGCCACACGAACTGAGCACACTTGCAAAAGCATACTCATTCGGCCGACACTCACCCAACATACCCGAAAGAAGCCGGAAACAGTCCTCAACCATGCCACACTGAGCATACCCTGAAATGAGCACAGTCCAAGAAACAACATTTCTTTCAGGCATTTCATCGAACAACTGGTTAGCAAAATTCAAATGGCCACATTTCGCATACATATTGATTACATGATTGGTGAGAATGACGTCATGTGGGCAACTGGGATAATGGGCAAGCATAAAATGGTGCAACTTGACGCCATGATTAAGCTGTCTTTGTTGAGCACAAGCATGGAAGAGGGTGGCATAGGTTTGTTGATAATGGAACTGTGACGGGGCACTGTAGAAGAGTGAGAGAGCCTCCTGGAGGTGGCCGCGTGATGATAGAAATCGCAATTTAGTGAGAAAATCGGCGGGTTCTTGGGTCGTGCTGGGAAGCGGGAGGAGATTGTACGAACTCAGCCTTCGGATGGAAATGTAACACGGGCGGGCCATCAAATTGTCTTCATTGCCACCACTTCTCCTAATTGGGAGTTTTCTCTAAGAAATAGCTGCCAACCTTTTTAATTTTTTTTTAAAACGATGGGAAATGTGGAAAACGAGGGAAACAGAAAGAAAATAGAGGGAAAAAAATAAGAATTTTTTTATTAACTTTTTAATATTTAAAAATTATATTAAATTTTAATTCATTTGAAACAAAAAAAAATTCTTTTAGTATTTGTTTTTTTAAAATAAAAAAGAGTTCTAATAATAAGTATACTGTTTTATAATTTTATTTGTCTTAAATTATTTTATATTATAAAATAAAAAATTTTAAATAAAAATAAACCTTAAATATTAAGGATCATCTCCTCATCTAATAATTAATATTTTATAATTTAAAATAATTTAAATTATAAAATATTTTTTTATCTACTAATTTAGATGGATTACTACAATTATTTAACCATTATCTTTACAAACGGAGTAATAATAAGATTTTTTGTTTTAACTTAGGGATTTTTTGAGGGTAAGAAAATTAATAATATCTGTGTTTAAAATTTAAGATTTTATATTGAGCAGTGCTACAGGCACTCGCTTTTTGCACTCTCCGGCGAACACTTCCCCTTTCATTGGGCCACGTAAGCTTCTGCAAAGCTTCCCGGCCAACCTCTCGGAAACGAAAATAACGTGGCCCAATAAAAGAGAAAGTGTTGGCCGGAGAGTGCAGGAGGCGAGTGCCCCTAGCATTGCTCTTTTATACTTTAACACTTTCTTACTAAATGGGTCAAAGTAATTTTAAGATTTACCTATATCCAAGTCTACTGACCATTTACTCCTTTGTATGACGAGATATTTTTAATGTTCATTGTTGCAATGTTTTCACTAACATTTGAGATTTTAAATGATGATCATTTTTTTTTGTGGGGGGATGGTTTTAGATGATTTGCATAAGATGTTATAGTAAATGAAAATACCCCTCCTTTTTTTTTTTTTTTGAGAAAGGCAATAATTAGAGGTGTTAATATGTAGAGAGGGTATTAAACCCGAGACAATGAGATACAAATTACGACCTACTCTAAAAGGTAGCAAGTAACCGTTACGTACGTTAAAATACCTCTCATTTTTGTTTTCAGCCGTTGGGTAGCAGTAACGGCACTAAATTCATTTTGGATAATGATACGAAAGATTTTTTTTAATAATACTTTATATAACATCTGCTTATAATTAGGTGAGTGAATGTATCGTAAAAATATTAAATTATTAAATAACATATAAATGTATATAAAATTAAACAGAGAAATTACCTCTAGATCCTATTCTATTCATTTTCTTGGTTTGTTAAATGCTTCCCATTTTTCTTATCTTAATATACTTTGAAATTTGTTAAAAGAGTTAAGG